GCCCCAGCAGGTTCCTGATGGTGAAGCCCTTGGTGTGCAAGCCAGGGCCACCCAGCTGCATTGCCTTCTTGCTGGGCATCACCACCTTGCCTTTGGCCCAGCTCTGAGCACCCTCCTCCTGTCCTGTCATGCAGCCTGGCAGCACCTGCTACCACTACTGCCCAGGGACTTTTTAACCTGCTGCTCCAGCTGGTCAGCTGGCTTCAATCAGTACCAGGTGCAGCCAGGGTGGGGGGGCGAAGCCAGTGCCTGGCCCCTGGGATTAGTTGCCACCAAAGTCACCCCACAGGTCCTGTCTGGCATAAGCGGTGGGGCAGGGCAGGGCAGGGCAGGGCATGTATGTCTGTGTTTGTGTTGTGTCCCCCTGACCATGGTGTCCTGGGTAGTTGCCCACACTGCCCACCCCTAAGGCTGGCTCTGCTGGTAACCATAGATCCCTCCACAACTAACAGGCAGGAAAACCTTGGCCCTGGGGACTGCATTGGTAGTCCAGCTCCAGGCAGCCGGACTTGCCTCAGCCCAGGGTCAAGGGCAGCCCAGGGCAGAGGCTTGCAGGCTGTCCTTGTGGATCCAACACTGCCCTCATGAGGCCTCCTGGTAACTTCCCAGGCAGCTCAAACACAATGATGACCTCTCCCAGGTATTGGAGTTGGTGCTCTTTGCTCTGCTGCCAAGCTCTGCCCAGCAGGGCCAGTCTGCCTGTGGGAGTGACTACGTGTTTCTCCTGCAGGTGGGGCTGGATGGGGTGTCTGTCAGGTGCAGCTCAGACTGCTCCTTTCACATAAGGAGCTCCTTCCGCCTGCTGCCAGACCAGCGCATCCAGAACCTATACTCTGGCTTCTGCTTTTTCCAGAGCACCAGGATCATGGGTCTCTCCCTGCGGAGATGCTCTGCTCGTGCCCTGCACTTTGCCCTGGATGAAGGTGACACAGGCCCTGCATCCCACTGCCCTCCCCTGCAGCCTTTCCCTTCACGGTGCCACAGCACTTCGTATGGACAGCTCTGTTCCTAGTGTCTAACTTGGAGGGGCCCAGGCATGTTGTTACTGGGGACAAGACAGAGTGTAAGCAGCAGGGAGACCTCCACTGGATGGTCTTATCCTGGCTCCCACATACCCTGCCCTTCCCATATGGCTAAGCCTCGTATCCTGGCTAGACCCTGGCTGTATGTGACCTGTAAATGAGCCTTGAGCTGTGCCCTATCACTCTGTGGGGGAAGGAAACAGCCCCAGGGATGGCTCTGATGGGCCAGGATTGCTCTCAGCACCTTCTGGGCTGTTGGAGCCCCAGGAAGAGCCAGATGGAGGTCAACCGGCTCTGCCTGAGCCTAGGACAGCCTTAGCACTGCACGGCTTCCCTCCTGCCAATGGTCCATAGGATGTAGGGCAGAAATGGAGGTAAGAGCAGCCAGCAGTGACCACTTCTGGTTGCCAGTCCCAGAGCCCATTAAGAAACCTGGGCTCTGCTGTAGCTTCCACCAGTTGGCTACAGTTCCCAAGGGACCCAGAATGCAGTGCGTTCCCACCTGTTCCCCTCCCTCCACGCCCCACAACATGCCCACTTCCCTGGAACTTGTACACAATATTCTTGGCAGGAATTTCTACACCCTTTGTGCCATCTGAGCAGTGTAAGAGAGGTGGAACCTGGAAGAAAATCTGCTCCAGGGCCTTGATTGGGCTTCTTGGTCTGTTTGGCATTAAATGTCCAGCCTTGGGCTGGGTGGGCCAGACTCTGCCTTTGCTCAGTGTTCATGTGGCCAGTGGTCTGCACACACTAGGGAGTAGTTCTGGCTGAACAATGATGTTGCAATGCACAGCACTCAGGTTTGACTTGGTGGCTTCGTCTTATGTTCCCCCTTAGATGTGCATTGTCCCGGAGCACAGGACTGGAAAGCCTGGAAAAATAAGTGCTTTCTTGTGGTGTCAGGTACTGCCCTGGAATGGCATCAGGCCCTTAATTACTGCCAGAGGTTCCCAAGTGGGAGCCTCCTCACTCTCGATGGCGTGGAAGATCTGGTGAGTCCGTGATGTCCAGTGACTGCCCCTTAGGGCTGGTCAGGCTAGAGTCTGTGCTTCTGAGTAATTAGCTGTTTTCCAGTTAACTCAAGCTGGGTAGCCTGGTTACAGTTAGAGCTGGGTGGTCTGATGACTTAACCAACGGCTCTGCAACAGCCGAAGGGCCGTGGAAGGGGTCCACTCTCCAGTTCAGGGTTTTCCTTATAGTAAGCAATGGGAGACATCCATCCCCTTAATCAAGTAGATGTGCTGGTGCTCTCGGGCTGTGGCTCAGATATTCTCCTGCTCAGTGGAGATCTTTGTGACATGGGAAGCCTTGTGTCCCTACACCCACCCCCAAGGGAGCTCTGGGAGGGCTAACCCCACTCCCCTTCACTGCTACCCTGTGTGATTGTATTCTGTAATTATGCTGGAAAAGTGGTTGCTGAAGCATTTTTAGTTCTTGTCCACTGGTATTTAGAGCCCTGTCAAACACAGACTAACTGCCTTGTGCTACCTCCTAGAGCTGGTGGCAGGAGCAGTTGACTTGGAGCATCTGGACTGGTTTGCGTGGGGGTTCTCTGCATCAGTGGGCTGATGGAACGCCTGCTAGTAAGGCTTTGCAGAGGTAAGGAGCTCCCAGCCACCTCTTGTTCTCCCCACTGGGGATGGGGACACTGACTCCTGGCTCAGAAGAGCTGAGGCTGTAGCAGCAAAACTGGGCATGTGGATATGCACAGACTGGAAGCATGAGAGCCCTTGGGGACTGACCTCAGCACTCCAACCCTGAAGAGGGCAGGTGAGGCAGGAGGCTGTACTCAGTTCCTAGGTACAAGCCCTTGCATGACCAGATCTGAGGCAGTGATGGAGGCACTTCTTAGAGACCACCTTCATTTGCTTTTTACCTGTGCTGAGCCCTGTGTGGGGTAGTCTCCTGACCTTGGCAGTGATCCTGCTATTGCAGGCATGGGGGATTATGGACATCAATCACCCCCACCACTGGAATCCTCACCGATGCTTCACCTTGCTTGCTTGGGTTTCAGCTTGATTCGGTCCTCCAAAGCTACTAGTGAAGCAGACTGTGTCCTCTTGCTACCATCTGGCTTCCTGAGGAGCGAGCCATGCCAGAGACGGCATCACTGGGTGTGCCAGACCCTACGGAGGAACAGTAAGACTCTATTGGCCTCTGGAAAGGGGCCTAAATGCCCAGCTGTGGTGGATGTTCTCATGCCTGTGTGGACAGCAGGGCCATCAAACAGTGCATTCTTGGCACCAGACAAGCAGCAGCTTGAGGGTTGTGCTTTTCCTGTTAGTTCTGTTCCTTTGCTGAGTGCTGAGTAGTGAGCACTGGTATGTCAGGTGCAAAGAAGGCTGGCAGTCGCTGGGTGGCATTTACCACCCCAGGCATGTGGACATCCCCTCTTCTGAGTAGCTCCATTCCAGACAAGATGTGTGAGTAACTCCCCTTTGGACTTCTCTGTGTCCACAGGGCTGTATGTGGCATTCCCTGGGAAATCCTGGCATGGAAGCTTATCCACGGACACGAGCTTCGCCTCTCTTCAGACAGCTAAGGAGCAGTGCACTGCCCTGGGCAGGGGCTGCAATGCTGTGGTCAGCATGGCAGGGACTCACTACCTCTCTCTTGGCACGCGGTTTGCCAACCTGGAGAATCTGACCACGGATCCAACAGCTGCTGTGCACATCAAAGCAGGTGCTGAATTATGAGCTATGCGGTATGCTTTCCCCTGGCTGAGGGTGGGTGTGGAACTCCTTCCTCCTTGCACCCTGAGGGCAGGGACAGAAGTAAGGGGTATGCCAGGAGAGGTCTTTCTTGGCCTTGCAGAGATCTAAGCTCACAGCCAGTCTCCTGCCCCATAGGCTGGGGTGCTTGGTCTCCTGGGGAGCAGTGCTTCCCCCAGCCCTGGAGAACCTCACTGGTGCAGCCAGTGTGTGGAGTGGTGCTGCAGGGCCAGATAGGCAGTCACCAGGACTGGGGGGTTGAGAGGACTCCTCTGTAGCAAGGGGCTTTATGGTGTATATGTTTCCTGTGGCAGGGTGTGCCCCAGGCTATTCGGGGCAGGACTGCCAGTCTGTGTGCCCTGTGTGTGACCCTGGGGTCAGCTTCAACCCTCTTACTGGTGCCTGTGATGGCATGTTGTACTACAGCTGGGATCCAAGCATGCAGGTGGCAGGTGAGCAGCGAGGGGCAGGAGATGGCGGGGACTCATGGTATTGCCCAGGCAGCAAATGTTAGCTTATTCAGCTGGTGCAGTCTGGTGGGGAGCACTGTAGCCTTGGTCCCGCTAGAGGGCAGAGGTAAAGGCTGCAATGCTGCTTCCTTCAGCAATGTTGCAAAGTGCATGCAAATTCCTAGGTTTGCCATGTCTCCCTCCTCCCCCCCGCTCTGGCCCATGCTGGAGCAGGTTGTGCGGAGCCAGGCTACTTTGCATAAAGGCTATGTGATTCTCCTTCCTCAGCATCCTGGGGCACCAAAGAAACCTCCCTCACAGGTACAGACTCAGGATCTGATTGTCAATTGGAGGAAGTCCCCTTCAGTCTGCTCTGGCCCTTGTCAAAAAGGAGCTCAGGTCCCAAGTCTATGTGATTTCAGCCCAAAAACACTTCAAACGGGGGTCTTCTAGTGCTGCAGGCCATATCCAGCACCTACCACAGCTTGTTGCTGGCCAGTCCACCAACATTATCATTGAGCACAAGGCCTTTTAAGATATTGTAAGAGCACAAGGGTCCAAATTCACCCACCATCCTCCAGGGTGGCCGCTGGTCTAGAAGAAACCCTATGAGCCACAATAATGGTGGGTTGAGCCTTGTGATGGTGACACACTGCTCATGTGTCTTGGGGCATGTATCATTCTGCAGGGACATGTCTCTTAGTAGTGAGTTCCAAGGCTTGCAACCATAGTGCCCTTCCCTCCCATGTGACTGCAGTGCTGCAGCTGCCCCTCTGACCATGAGGGTGACAGGGAACTCATTTTTTTTGGCAGTGTACATGTCTCTGAAATGCCCTCCTTTTACTGGATGGGTGTACAAGGATGGAGTCTGTGTGTACCTGGATCACAAGGGCAGTCAGTATGAAATAGAGCCCATCTGCAGGAGGTATCTGGCTGCGGAAGTTCTGGAGATCAAGCAGTCTCCAAATGTGGTGAGGAGACCCAGGCTAAATCCTGGGGATAGGTCAGTGGTGCTTGGGACTATTTTTGAAGCAGATTCAGGTCTCGGGGCACCTGAGGCCCTGTTTTCTGGGGTTTGGTGCTGGAGCAATGTTAGAGTCTTTGTGTGGGAACATTATGGAAAAGAGCCAGTAGCCCTTGGGGAAAGCACCTGGGCAGGCCATGTTGTCAGGGACCACTTGCAAGGCCATTTGAAGCATGACTGGCAAGCAGGAAAGGAGGGAGTCCCAAGATGCCAATAGCAGAGGCCAAGGTTTCTTCCTGTCTCTTTGCCCCTGGCCCTTTCATCAAGGGACCCAGGGAAGCCCTGTTTTAGTACTAGTCCTAGGGAAGGCATCGACAGTGTAGGGTATGGAGCCTTTTCTTCATCTTTCAGATATGTGCAACTCCCTCTGGAGGTGGAGATGGAGGCTCTTGGATAAACTGCCCCCCACAGTCTCTCTGGTCTTGTCAACGAGCTGAAGGTCAGCACCTTTGCCTTCACAGGAACCTCCATGTTCTCGTGAGGCATCTGGATATTTGTGGGTCCAGGGAGCAAGCATGCTGCACTAATGCCCTGAGCTTCCTCTTCCCCAGGAAAGGGGGGTGGGGGGAGAGGCTTGTGCCTGGGTCCCACTGCAGAGCCTGGATATGCCTCCGCATTTGGCCATACAGTACAAGGGCACTTGAACTAATTCTCAGCTAGCCTTAAGTCCGCAGGAGTACGTCCCTTAGAGTCCCTGGAATTACCTGGATGTCATGGGGAGGACATATAATTCCTGGCACAGAAACAGGGCCTGAAGCTGAACCCAGGCCCCCTGCACATCTATTCTGGTACCTCTACTGCTAAATCTCACCAATCCAGGGGCCATAGACCAGGGCTGGGCTCCCACGGAGCTGAGAAATATCACTCCTGGTGCACCTGCATCTCCTTGCTTCTCCCTGTGATGTTACTTCAGCTTTGTTGCTGTTGCATTACCATGTGGGGCTGTGGTACTGGTGCATGCAGATACCTGGCACTCAGAGCTGGGGCCTTGATAGGAGGCTGACTCATCCCACTGGCAGCCAGAGCTCTGCAACCAGCACTGGTGAGTTTGGATGCGTGGGAACCCTGACTGCCATGGGAAACCCACCGTCTCACTGAGGTGAGTGTAGGTGGGGCCAGGGGTTGAGAGACTCAAGCTCATAGGAATCTCATTGAGAAACCCTCTCTTTTTAGATGTGAAGCTGCTGGCCTTTCGGGAGAAGCTGCTCATTTCCTTCAAGGGTTTTGCATGGCAGAGACACCATTCACTGGCAGCAGCTAAGGACTCCTGCTTTCTGCAAAGAGAGAGCTGCTCTGGGGTGCTGCAGCTAAAAGGAGCCCACTACACTGTGAGGGGGTCGGTGCTGGTGGACAGCCCTGGTTCAGGGACTGTCCTCTACGTGAAGTCAGGTAGTAGCCCCTCTTCGTGAGGCAGGTAGTGCCAGCGTGTTTGGTCTCCCTTGGGGGCACTGCTGCCTTTGGGTGTTCCCCCTGGGTGGGGCAATGACCCTGTGGGCTCCTGCAAGTCTGCAAAGCCAGACATGAAACCAACTCTTCTTCCCATGGGGGAGGGGCAAGGGGATCCCCACAGCTTCTCCAGGGCTTGGCTTAGGCTCATTTTAGCTGTAGGGGGCCCAATCCTGTTCCTGTGGAATTTGTTGACCAAACTCCTACTGATGAGAGGGAGTAGGATTGGCCCTGTCACTGTGCTTGTGTTTGCAGCCTGCTCTCCTGGCTATCATGGAGTGAACTGCACAAAACGCTGCCTGCTCTGTCCTGGTTCCCATCCCTGTAATCCACTAAGTGGCCGATGTGAAGAGGGTCTGCGCTGTGTCCGCAGGATTGGGCCTTCCTGTCTCCATGGTAAAGAGGCTTACAGCTGTCATGGGGACAGAGGGGCAGGGAGTGCAGTGTGTGTGTGTGTGTGTGTGTGTGTACATGGGTGTGCTGGGAGGCATCTTGTCATGTGCACAGGACTTTCACCCTGGGAGAAAAAAGATGGAAACTACATTAATTCCCGTGCTGGACTCTTAAGTAACAGTAAGCAGTAGGCCAGCTTGTGCAGAGCACCAGTGAGAGCACACGTCCAGGTCAGGAATGGCAGACTCGGCACTCTTACCCCCCCAACACTGTTGCTGAGTGAGGACAGCTGTGGAGGATGTGTGGGGCCTCAGTGTGGGGAAAGAAATGCTCTGCAGGAGTGGCTGCACTAGAAAGCAGTGGCTGCACTACCTGCCTATGGCAGTATCCTAATTCCTTGGACTAGTCCTTGGCTTTATGGAAGCCAGTGTCTGTGGGGGGCAGATGCTTGGTGTCAGAGCTGGGGCAGAGAGGGCAGTTTCTGATTGCGTGGCTTCAATAGGTGCTCCATGTCTCAGGCTGTCCCTGAATCTATAGAAGATAATACTTGTCTGCCATACACAAATGCAGGCTAAAGCCTCCAACTGGCTGCTGCCTGCCAGCTCTTAGAGATCCTGGGAAGAAGGGACCAAAGAGCTGAGACAGCTCAATGTGGGATCAGGCATGGGGTCATATCCCAGCACCATGTTCTTACTGAGGTGGGGGTGGACACAATAGGGTTTGGCTGAAACTGCATTCCAATGATGGGCAACTACTGCCTGTTTGCTCCCCAGGGCTAGTGAGCTCCCGGTGCCCTGGGCGTGCTGGCTGGTGGTACTGGGATGGACACTGCTACTTTATGGAGGAAAAAGACACCAAGACATGGGAAGAAGCTGAAAGAGCTTGCCGTTCCTTTGGAGAAGGGCTGGGACTGCTGGCCCTCAACAGCCAGGAGGAAAAGGTGTGGAGGCTAGGTAGATGAGAAGTGAGCTGGGCTCCCTGAGCAGAGTCAGAGAGAGCCCAGGCATCTTTCTGAGGCAGAAACAGCTTCTCCCTGTTGTCTCTGTCTGTCTGGCATCATGCTCTGCTTATGGAGAGTCACCCAGTGGAAACCCACAGGAGTCTCTCTCTGCACGTACTCCCAGGTGCTGAGCAGGGAGACTGGCCTTGCAGGGCAGCTGCTGCTTCTTGGAGCCTTGCTGCCAGGGCAGGATGAAGCCAATTGAATCTGTGGTGGGGAGGAGCCTTTCACAACACTTTGAATTTCTGTGGAGATCCCTGGCCCTGTTCTTGGCTACTTAACTCACTGCTGGGCTCTGCACCATGTGAACCCCTCTGCATGTGGGCTGCTGTGTGCCCCCCTGCTGGCAGTTCCTCTCTGTGTGTGGCCTGCCATTTCCCCACATCCTCAACTTCCTTAATGTCCAAGGAAGTGGGCATGAACTCTGTGAACGGCAAAGAGGGAACAGGCCCCCTGTCCTGGCAGCCTCCCCCAGTGAGCTGTATCTGGGCTGGAGTGAAGGGGTAATAGGAGGCCTCAAGCATCCCAGCAGGCAGAGGGGGCACTGCCCCCCCCAGGGTAAGGGACTTTTGTGGCAGCCCAGTCCTTGGAGGGACAGATGACCCCATTCCTTTCCCTTCCCTTCCCAGGCACTGTATGTGGGAATGGTGATAGAGAGAGTTTCTTGATATAGAGGGTATGTGTCTGCCACTTCCCCAACACCCTCTGAGAAGATGCCTCACCTCGTACTCTTGTTCATGCATGCAAACCCAACAAGGAGGTTGTGGGGTTGCTGTGAAGAAGCACCTCTGCCTCTGCTCCTCTGTGGATGGTGTCTCCCTGGGCCTTTACCATCTGTTTTGTGTGCTTGGCAAATGTGGAGCGGGATGCATGGGCTGGGCCATAATCTCCAGGGTACTGAGGAAGCTATAGAAACATTCCCCCAGTGGGCCCATCATCCTGCCCCAGAGAGTGCAGTTAGTGTAGGCTTCTCTGGATGCCACTTTCCCTGCCTAGTTACCCTGTGGCTCCCTTGGGCTGCCTGCATGTTCCCGAGCTCTGCCGCAAGCCAGAGGAATGATCTCTCAGTGAAGCACTTTCTTCTTTCAGGCCTGGGTTGCAACCATGGTACAGAGACACAGCTGGACTGGGCTGAATGACCTTGATGGTGATGGGAGGTGGACATGTATGACTCAGCACACAGATCCCAGTGTGCCCTGGTGAGTGAGGTCTGAGCCAGAGGGGCAGCTGAGGAAGCCCAAGGCAGACAGCCCTGCAAGGTGTGCCCTGCAGCCTTCTGACTTTAGCTGTACCCTCTTGTGCTGCTCTTGACTCCACTCCCACCCTGTGAGCAGCCCTGGCTTTCCAAGTCAGCCTGTACTATAGGTTTCAGACACAGATCACCTGCTCCAACTCACCTGCCCAACCTCTAGGGGAGGGAGCAGCAGCTATAGGGACACTTTGAGAGACCAGAGGTGTCTTGACTGCCCTCATGTGGCAGGCCCTATCCCTGCTTTCTCCATGGGAAGCCCACACCTCAGTGCTGCATCCCCCATCAGCAGGCCCACTTGCTGGGTGCAACCCACAACAGGGAGGCACGGGCTGCATCCCTGTCTGTCTGCCAGGGGGTTGAGGTCCCTACTATGTCCCCTCCCTCCAGGGACAGGCTCCTGAGGCTTTCCCTGGCTAGCAGTGCCAGCTGCCCTGGCAGTGGGCTTTCACCTCTGGGGCAGAGCTCTACAATGGGAACACATTACTATCTGATTAGGGAAAAAGAAATGCTATTGTGGGTGAAACAGGCAGGAGAAAGATCCGACTTGTGGGAATCTGCAGGCTTTTCCTCAAGTATTTATTTGCTGATTTATGAAGGCCAGGCTCTCTATTCCTGCTGGGGGGATTACCTGGGTTTAAGACTTTGGGAGGGTGGATTAAACACAGGAGCAGGTGAGAGTGGGAAGGGACTCTGCAGGACGGGAACAGGGCAGAATTGAGTCTATGGACCTGGGTAAGGCTTCATGCTGCTGCCAGCTGACTAGTGGTTCCCCATTAGGTTGGCTGGGGTGCTGCTTACTCCCGGAGGCTGTCTGAGCATCGGCCCCCCTGCCAATCCAGGCCTTGCTGTGTCCAGTTGTTCAGTTCTCAAGCCCTGGGTCTGTGAAGGTCCAGAAGGTATGTAGCTGCCAAGAACTAATGGAAGTCCCATTGCCCAGGTGCTCAGTGGGATGCCTGGGGGTGGCCACATGCTAAAGGGCACCACTCAGTTCTGCCTAAACCCTGGGTGCTCTGTAGTGCCCTTGAGCCAAGAGCCCTGCAGGTCCTAGACTCAGTGCTGGTGACTCCTGTCCAGTTGTCACTGGGCACTGGTGGCTGCTGAGTTCCAGCCAGTTCCAAGCTAGCATCAGCAACGTATGGGGAAAGGACAGTTCATTCCCAGGGCAAGGATATTGGAGTTCTGTGAGGTGCTGCCAAGGGTGGTACATGCTTCCAGAAAGCAGAGGGGAACTGGTGACACAAAAGGCCTGTGATCTGGGGCTGTGTATACCATTGGCATTTGCTGATCAGGCAGGGGCTCACCCTGCTCTGAGTCCCCTAAGAACAAACCCCCTGAGCAAGAGGGAGGGGAGCAGGGACACTTAGATAATGGCTCACAGCCAGCAAAGCAAGTGAGGATGCAACAACAGGTCTGGCCCCAGAACTCAACACAGCATCCCAGTAAACAGATAAATAAAAAAAAATTAATAGATTTAATTCAAAATAAATTAAAAATAGGGGATGAGAAGAGCAAAAACCAGGAGAGCTGCCCTGAGGCCATGTACGTGTTGGTACATGTGTGTGCTTGCCAGTCCATGTGGCTGGGGAAATGGGGCAGGGCCAGAGGGGCATGGCTGAGCTGAATGGCAGGGCAGGATCAGGTGGGTTCTGGTTCCCTCTGAGCTGTGCCTCTTGGTGTGTGCTGTGTCTGCTCTCAGGCACCTCCTGCTGTCCCATAGTGGCTCCCATAGTGGTGGGGCAGATCCCAACCTTAGCTTCTCTTGAAACACATCCCTGTGGGGATGTCCCCAAAATCACAGCCTTTCCAGTGACAGTGCCCATGAGGTCTATGCAGACAACCCCCATCTCTTCAGGCTCCTTCTGAGGGTAGCCACAGTCCTCCTTCAGCAACTCATGGCTCAGAGTCCTGTATACTGAGGATGAGTTGTGGGGGGAAAAGCTGTTCTTTCACAGTTCACAGTGGCAGTCATTGTTCTCCCCTGGTATCTCTTCATGGCAGCTCCCCTGATCCTCTGTCCACTGGATCCTGGGTGGAGGCAGTGGAATGGCAGCTGCTACTTCTGGGATGCCTCACTGGTCCACACATGGCAGGAGGCCCTGCAGGTGTGCCGGAGGTTCAGACGCACGGAGTTGCTGTACCTCAACTCCACCCAGGAGAAGGTATGAGCCAGCCATGCCTGACTTGACACCATAGCACACCTCCAGGGGGACTCAGAAAGCTGTCTTGGCCACAAGCCCTTTGCTCTTGGTGAGATGAGCAGGGCACAGTGCTACACCATAACCCTTCTTCCCAGCCTGAACGCTATC